GAGATGAAGATGTCGAGAGAGTTTATGGTGATAAGAGCCGACATTATTGTAGGGGTGCTGTAAACATGATCACTTGATCTCCATAGCTGAGTTAATGTGTCACTTCCTGTCTCCGGTGAGTGCACTGAAGCTCAGTGGTAAACTGCTGAATTACGTATGACTGATTTGTATTACATTACTTATGACCAACTGTATCAGTGAGAGTCACTATGTCAAAATATTCACATATACCAGCATTGTTTAGTAATTTAAAACAACCTTTGAACCAGCTGTCCTTAAAAAGTTTTAGACAGACATTAGTTGTTGGCCTATGACACACTGCCACACTGACTCTGTCCATTTCTCATTTCTCCTTCCCTCAGGTTTACTTTCAATCCAAAGGAAGGAATTGATAATCCAGCTCTAGTGATCACTGATGATCCAGGTAACATGCCTTTACATGGACAATAGTGTCCCTTCAAGTGTTGATAATCTTTATCTAACCCTGTGAGCAGAAGCGGATCAGAATGTGGTGCCCAGACTGTGCCAGCTGAAGCGTCTAGAGGGACAGAGCTTTGGCTTCTACCTGCGGATGGACCGGAGCAACTGTGGATTTGAAATCAGAGATGTGGAGCCATGGAGTCCTGCAGAGTGCAGTGGCCTCAAAAACAGAGACAGAGTGCTGGAGGTCAACGATGAATATGTGGGCAACATGGACTTGTACAAGGTCAGTGTCCAGTTGATTATCTGCTGTGCACAGTAATGTAGAGTAAAATATGTTGTGCATTTTCATGGCCACAAGATAAGTTGAATTAACATCACATAAACTAACCTTTCATCAGGCTTCATCATGGCAATTTCTCCTCTGGGCCACAATAAACATAATAATTGGAAGTGCAGCTAACACGCTCAAAAATTCTGTAAAGAAAGGCACTTGCTGGCCATCAGGTTCATGATGGGAAATAAAAAGTTACATTTAAAAAATTCATTTTTTATTTTTAATATTATTTTGGGGCATTTAACAATTTCCTATATAATTTCGACTCTCCACTTTTTTACTAAGCTCTGTAGATTAGTATATGGACTTTGGTTCTATTTAGATGAGCCAGGAAGCAAACATGCTTCCTTGCTGTGTTTTGATCTGATCTCATTGGGTAAGGATCTGATCCAGTAGGATGTAAATATTTCTTCAGTCTGCAGAACAGATTGTTGGAAATGACTGTGTCTTGGTTGCAGCTTTTTTCCCCTCCTCTCACTGTCAAGAGTCTATGAGATGTGAAATAAAAAGATCATGTTGAGAGAAAGAAAAAACAATAATCACGCTCAGAGCACCAATGTTACTACAGAAATATGTCAGTATTATTCTGACCTCTTCTTGTAGTTACCTCAGTTGTCAGTGATTAACACTACACATTACTGAAGTAATACAATGATATTTTGTATGGGCATCATCCACTAAACAGAAGGTTAGGGGTTCAATCCCATTCTCCCCCATTCAGTGTTCAGATGAACCCCTGACAGCTGTGGTGGTAGTGTCTGAGAGATGTGTGATAGAGAAAGTGCTGCACATAGATATGCTCTGTGAATGGCAGTGAGTGGTAATCAAGATTAGAAATACCCTGTATGAATATAGACCATTACCATTTTAATGGAGGTTAAAAGATCAATGCAATCTATGTGGTCAGAAACAGGCTTTACCCACCACTATTCACTGGTTTCGTTAACAGTTTCAATCTGCTAACATGTCATGAAACTTATCTAAAGGTCATAATCTCTTCTTAACTATTCTAAAGGTTTTGGCAGGCATTAATGTATCATGTTCCCTTCATCTTAACCTGAGTTTAACCCTATGGATGAAAAAAAATTCTTGTTTCATTTGGGATGGACCTGATATTAAAGGAACAGGGCCTTATAGGCATTAGTGACGAAAGAGTGTGCATTATCTGAATCATTTGTGTCTCTCTATGTGGTTACCTACTAGTTGGTGAGGAAGATCCAGTCATGTGGCTTACACCTGTTTCTGCTAGTGTTGAGGAGAACAGAGTATGAACAGGTATGTATGAGGATGAAAAAGACACTACAGGCAAACTAGGGCAATATGACTTCAAATCGATAACATTATTATTTCAAACTCTTAACTCGATTGAATTAATTAATGATTATTTTATAACCCCCCATGGGGCGCATCACTTGGCAAATTACTTTGTCAGTCAACAGGTGACTCTCCTCTGCTTTTCACTCACACTTAGAACTGGTCCCTTATAAAAACCTTCTAAATTCATATTCATGTTGCTGAATAAACGGGACATCACATCTTCTGCAACAAGTTTAAACACATAATCTGCTGGAAGAACACACTGTGTGTGTGTGTGTGTGTGTGTGTGTGTGTGTGTGTGTGTATGTGTGTGTGTGTTTCTCTACTTGTGCCTGTCGCACTTCACTTAAACTATTGATAACAATTATTTAGTGATTAATAGATGAAGTCTTATCATGAATCGATTGTTTCCATCACTAACCCTGAAAAGGACTCATGTCTTTACCCTCTGATGTAGGGGGCGCTGTCTACGCACAGAAATGTGTGTTATTATAACTCAGACATGTCAAACTCAAGACAATTCCGGCCTATCGTACAATTATATCTGGCCCGTGATAAAATATCATATGTCTAGCTTAACTGGCCCGCTGGTAAAAAGGAGGCACACTTTTTTTATGTGAAAAAAAATCTCCATAGGCTGACCCACAGTGCGCAATGTCGGCAAGACGCACATGGAGCGGGCACTCCTCTCCACTCACCTGCCGAGTATTTGGTGTTATTAAATTACTTTTTCTAGTATTCCAGAGATCCCGGTGCCTGCCCCGTCAAGTACACCCACACGCTTTTCTCTGTGATGAAGATGAACAGAAAGCATTGGTGGCTGCTGAAAAGTATTCTTGGTGGGGCTGTGCCCGGCCATACTCAGTTTTCAGTAACCATCTCACCAGTTCCTCATACCAGTTCTTTGTGAAATCGTAGGTAATTATTTAATCAATAAACAATAATAATCATGTCATGTCATTTTTACACAAAAACAGATAGCTAACAGTTTACTGCATACTGCACAAACAAACTTAAAAAACTAAACTTAGAAAACGAAATCAAAATAATATATACAAAAATAATAATTACAGCCTATTGATAAATAATGTAAATTATTAATAGTTGTTGCC